GAACTACCTTCTTTTTTGTATCATGAATTTTTTAATATGAAGTGTGATCTTCATAATTGTCAAGTTAAAAGCGTTTCCGAACGCTACTTATCGTGCTGGCTCTGTGTTGGTATTTGCTATCTAAAGTGTTCTGGTTTGAGAGGAAGAATTCGCTGGTCTAGCTTAAAGTGCAGGTCAACCGAAGTTGATCTCTTTAAGTTGTTTAGGCAACCCAGAAATGGATTTTCAGAGGTAGGAAGAGAGTTGTTCGCACTGACAGAAAAATTTAAGCATTGTGAAAATGTGTTTAAATCTTTTAAATGCTCAGATACCTTGCAATATGTTAAGGATATTCGTGTGTCAAAACGTAAGCGTCTCATAGTACGTCAAATGATAGGATAATGGTACCACGTCAGAAAAATCTTCCGACTGACTTAATTAACCTTTCTTCCCCATGTCCACCGGCACCGATGTCATCACTCCCAAAAGAACGGATAACGAGGTCTGCTTCTACTTCTAATAATAACGTGCCTGAAGTATCTTCCCATTCCCGTTGAAGTTCTGGCATCGCAATCTAATCCTCCAACGCTTACTTTACCCTCAATTAGTAACTCGGTTACTCAACCAAGTCCTCCGGTAATCGAGTCTAATACTAGGAGACTGGTTGTGGTTCCACCAAAGAAGTCTATATTTGTCTCTAGATTTTCAAGGGATACTTCCGAAGACGATATAAAGTTTTACATCTCGTCCAAACCTAGAACTATCAACTTAATAAGTATCAGAAAATTTAATTTTAAATATGAAAGAAATATTTCTTCATTTAAAATTTACGTAAATTTAAAAAATTTTGACTTGCTGCTTAGTAGTTCTTTTTTGCCCTGCGGTGTTTTCGCTAGTGAATTCGAAGACAGGCCCAACAAAAATAATAATTTAGCAAATATTCCCCGTCCGAATACTGAATCAAAAAACTGATTACTCAATCTGCTTTAAGTATTTATTATCAAAACGTAAGAGGCTTGAATACTAAATTAACGAACTTATATCTTAATAGCCTTGCATGCAATTATAACATAATTTTCTTCACCGAAACTTGGCTCGAACCACACATTTTCAATTCAGAGATTCTTTCAAATAGTTATTATATCCACAGAGAGGATCGGAAGGACAGAATCGGCGGTGGCGTACACTTTTTCGTAGACTCTTCAATACCATCTGAAGAAGTTAGTCTCCCACACATTGAATCTGGAGGGTTTACTTATTTAGCTCTATGCTATACTTCTCCCCGATCTGACTTGTCAGTGTATTCACAGCCAGTATATTTACTGAAATCAATTAATTTAATTATTAAACCCTCTAATTCAATGATTGTGTTGGGTGACTTTAATTTACCAAATGCATCATGGAACATCATTGACAGTGATATCGTATCTTTCTCGTCTAGTGCGTGCAACAACGCATTTTTAGAGGAGATGGCTGAACTCTGCCTAAATCAAGTTAATGTACTTCGCAATAAGTTTGGCAAAGTATTAGATCTTGTTTATGTTAATGATGCATATGAGCCCGCTGTAAATAAGTATGTAAGTGTGACCCACTAGTTTTGCCCAAAGATGTCCACCACCCTCCTGTTGAGATATATTAGGAAATTACAAACGATGGTCAAAATTGCGTAATCCAAACATTCGAACCAAATATTCGCTTGGATTTTTTGAAAGCCAACTTTAAAAAATTTATTAAAGAATTTTCTAAATTGTCATGGCCTATATACAAGAAAAACGTTGACCAAAGCGTCGTACATTTTAATTTTACTGTACATAATTATTGTGAGTGCAATGGGGTACAGTGGAGTGCGATGGGGTTAGTCGTTGTGCTGTGTTTGCAGTTACAGTTGCACGGCTATACTTAATCCCGACTTTTGCGTCCTCGTTCGCGCACTCTGGGCAACGTGAGCAAGCCATGTGCGAGATGCGGTAACCAATCCGAGTGGTGCCTTGGGTCACGGCAGAAAGAGAGGGAGCTTCGGTGGGGCCACTCCGGCTTATTCAGTTTAAGGGCTCACTGAAGTCTGCGGCGTCTGTTCAAAAGTAGGTGCGGCTGCAAGCGGGTGTCTGTCTTGGAGCAAGTGGTAACGAAACCACCCCGTCACAGCAATGGGTTTTGGGCTGGGTTTGGGACCGCCAGGTAAAAACCCCTTCCAGTGAAGAAGCGAAGTAAAGCCTCGGATGAGACCACGGCAAATGTTTAAAGACTACGATTTGAGGGAACCACCGTCGGAAAATTCAGCCCCCACAACGAAACTTCCGATAACGGACTGAGGCTGATCGATTTCGCCGGGGCCCGAAACGTGGTAGTATGCAGTACTATGTTCAAGCATAAAAATATTCATCAAGCTACGTGGCTGTCTCCGAATCGAAAAACGAGAAACCAAATCGACCATGTTGTGATAGACGAAAGGCATGCTTCCAGTGTTTTGGACGTACGTATACTCCGAGGCGCAAACATCGACTCGGAACACTATCTTGTTGCAGCCAAGATACTCACGAAGGGTTCTTCTGCGCCTTTTTCTTCGGCGGTGCGCGCCGCTTGACGCTCCTTGGGGCCTTTGTGGCCGGTTTTCTCTTCTTGGGCCCCTGTTCCCTTGGCCCCGTGCGCGCATGAGTGTTGGCTACCACATGCAGCAGCGTGTGGTGCGCTATNAGAAACCAAATCGACCATGTTGTGATAGACGAAAGGCATGCTTCCAGTGTTTTGGACGTACGTACACTCCGAGGCGCAAACATCGACTCGGAACACTATCTTGTTGCAGCCAAGATACTCACGAAGGGTTCTTCTGCGCCTTTTTCTTCGGCGGTGCGCGCCGCTTGACGCTCCTTGGGGCCTTTGTGGCCGGTTTTCTCTTCTTGGGCCCCTGTTCCCTTGGCCCCGTGCGCGCATGAGTGTTGGCTACCACATGCAGCAGCGTGTGGTGCGCTATCCCGCAGGTCTTGCAACTACGAGTCGCATTCCCCGGTAGTGTGGGTGAGCGCAAGGCAGTTGACGCAGTAGCCCTGCGCGCGGGCTACTCCCAACCGTTGTGGCGGCTTCATCGCCTTGAAGGCCGGGCACCTCCGCAAGGCGTGGTACCGGGTGCAGAGCCTACATTGGAGACAATTGTCCGTTTCCGCCGTTGGGGCCAGGGGGCATGTCTTCCGTGCTGCCATTATGTCTTCGATCTGGAAGTAGAAGCAAAGGCAGAGAAACGAGAAGTACTTGGGTACAATATTTAAACGGGAAGTTAAGACCCTTAATATACCAAAGGAAAAGATGTATAGAATTATTTATTGTGCTTTTGGAAGGAAGCACAGTTTGACAAGTGGCCGCGTGATAACTCCATTTTGTTACGGACTTCCACGACACGTATGTGGTTATCAGGGCCGTGGCGAACGTTTTCGATTCGTCCCAATCGCCGCTCGGTGGGGGAGGAGCGAATCTTCTTTGATCACGACGATGTCGCCTGGCTGAGGATCGCGTTGTGGGGTTTTCCACTTGTATCTCTTCTGAAGATCTTTGAGGTAATCTTCTTTCCAGCGGCGACTAAATTGGTGGTGAAGTGCTTTGACTTTCTCCCACCGGTTTAGTAGAGAGAGGTCTTCCGCATTAGGCTCGGGAATGGCCAATAGCGGTGCACCTCGAAGGAAGTGACCCGGAATAAGTGCTGTCATATCAGCTGGGTCTTGAGCAAGTGCGGATAGAGGCCTCGACTTGAGGACTGCTTCAATTCGCACCAGAAGCGACGTGAATTCTTCGAAAGCGAACGTGTGGGTTGCAGCGGTTTTATTTAAATAGATTATAAAGCTTTTCACTGCAGATTCCCACAAGCCGCCCATGTGGGGAGCGCTGGGTGGTATATATTGCCAGTTGATGCCTTGAGGGGCATATTTTTTGACAATGTCTGCGGAACATTCGTTAAGGAATTTAACGAAGTCGCGTTCTGTTGCGCGCTGGGAGCCAATGAACGCTTTTCCATTGTCGCTCATCATTTTTAAGGGAAACCTGGTCTGCCAACGAAGCGGGCGAATGCTGCTCGAAAAGCCTCGGTTGTAAGATCCGAGTATAGCTCGAGATGCACTGCCTTTGTGGAAAAACAGACAAAAACTGCAACGTATCCCTTGATAAGGGTTGTAGATCTTAGCACCGATGCTTTAATTTGGAATGGCCCAGCAAAATCTACTCCCGTTGTGGAAAATAGGAGTGAGAAACTGCAGCGCTCA